GCTCTCCCTGTCGCACAGAAAATAAAAATACAAGTGGCCTTTAGGGGAAAAAAATCATACATATTTTAATAATATCAAGAATTACCTTCAGGCTCAATTTGTATCTGGTCGAGGCTCTTTCCTTCGAATTCCGTCACTCTTCCCTGCTCCATGGCCATCAACACTTTGCTGATTTTGGCCAGCTCCAGTGTCCCCTCTGGTAGTCTGTAATATTGCCTGTGGATGCGAATGTCATGGCCGAGGAAGTTGGCAAGTATGTCCATCTCATTCTCTTTCATATTGAGAACTGTAGACATAGTAGCTATGTGCTTTCTAAGTTTGGTTGAGGATAGCATCTCTGGATGCACCGCACCACATTCTTTGGCTACCTGGCGTAGGGAGTCTGATCCCCTGATGTGGGTGTCTGCGCCCGGGCGGGAAAAGAAGTATGGGTTATGGTCAGAGATGGAACAGGCCCTTCTGTTCTCCACCAGCACCTCCATCGAAGCAATCATTTCAGGAGTCAAAAGAACCGGCACTTTCCGACTTCTTTTCCCTTTAATTTCAATGCGTTGAAAATGCTGACACAGCTTTTTCTCAAGTTGGGACAGTCCCAGAGCAATGTCAGAATGGATCCCAGTCTTACTTCTTAAGGTAAAGGCTGTCAGTGGCATCTTTGAAACCTCACCTTCCCTTCTTCGATTGAAAATGATGACCTCACAAAGAGTCAAAACTGCCAGTTTAGACCAATGCTTAGACGTTGGCTCACTTATTAGGGTTTGCACATATTCAGGTCGACATACCTCAATATGTGCATGCATGGCTCTAACGTCCTCAGTCAGAGGGAGCAGGTCCGGAGTGTTCCACTTGGCTTGCCGGAGGGTCTGTAGGGCAGCAGAAGAAACACAGACGTCCCACCTCTTCTCAAAAAGCAGCCGGCTTCGTTGGAGGTTTTTAATAAATAGTTCATCAACACAATGCTCCATTTTTGAGTCACATTCAAGAATATCTGCTAGCTTTCTGAGGCTATGGCCGAGTTTGAGGGCCAAGGATGGAGTCTTGTATTGATTTGTTTCCTCATCATATCCAGCCACAGACCTGACTGCATCAATCACATGGTTAAAGTTGGAAGGAATAAAGAAATCCTTAATTGTTTTCAGTTTCCCTGCGGTTTTTGCTTCGTTAATTAACCTACCGACTTCTCTCATTTTCTGCCTAATGTAATCATGCTTAGTCTTATCATGCCCGTGTTTTAAGTACAGGTGCTCTCCGAGTCTCAGAATCCCCTTTTCTGCTTTGACAACACCCGTGACCTCATCCTGATGCATTGCCGAAATTAAAGACCACAGCTTTTTGCTGATGCCCTCCGGTACAGGCTGGGCTAGGGAGCAGAGGGACTGGACCCTACTTCTACCTGGTTTAGCCTGGGCATCTTTCTGTGAAAGCCGGCACCTGGCCACATGCCTCCACAGCGACTTTCGCTTAAGCAATGCCCCACAGTCTATACAGTGCAAAAACTCACTGGATTTAACTGGGGAATTTGGCTGTTTAGCTGGGACTAAAGTTCCAATGCCGGCCTTTAAAACCTCAAAATTGTGCTCACGGTTTCCACTATTCCTGATCAAATCAAACTGAAGTTTACGTGCTTTAGATTTCACAGGTAGAGCCAATGCTCTGGCTACGTCACTTTCATTTCCATGTTTTCTAGTCAAATGACGGGACATTTTGTGGCAGGACATTGAACAGTAGAGGCAGAAGTGTCTCTTGCTGTATACTCGCCCCCCATTTTTCTTCTTTTGCAGCTGCATGATAACAATCTTATTTGCCTTTGGTTCGTCACTTTCCGAGTCTTGAAGAAAAGTGTTTTTGATTTTTCTTTTTCCATACTTTTTTACAGGTTTCTTCTTGACAGTTAAATCGTCAGAATCTGAGTCGACTTCATCAATTAGGGACTCTTGACTAAGCTGCACAAACAACAAATAATTTGTAATCATTCTATATAACAATTTGAAGTCATGACTTGTAGTCAGCACTTACCAGTGGTTTGTAAGCGTGCGCTTCAGTGTGCTCCTCCATGATTTCTTGCAGCCTAATGAACCACACACTTGCACCTTTTTCTAGCCTGACACCTGATTTCCTCTGTTGTGCTGCTCCATGATTGGCTCCAGCCTGCTGGACTGAAATTGCCCCAGTGTGCCCCTCCTTGATATCCCGCAACCCACCACCAGGGTTCCGACACATAACACACTTTTTTCAGGAAAGTAAACCTCCAGGGGTCCTTTCCATATTTTTACAGAGACTGCATAAGGACCGTTAGAAAAGCATTACCCATTGATTATTAAGCTTGGACCAGTGGGGTCCGGTGTTCGGGCCCCACCACGTAAAACCAGTCCCCATGACGTGAGTGGAATCTCAGGTTATGGAACCCCAGGAGTTGAAAACAAGTGCACTGTTACGCACACTGTTACACACACACACTGTTTTACACACACACACTGTTACACACACTCAAACTGTTACACACATGTGCAAACTGTTACACACATGTGGAAACTGGTACACACTCAAACTTTTACACACACATACACTGTTACACACACAAAAACTATGACACACATGTGGAATCTTTTACACACATGCGCAAACTGTTACACACACACTCAAACTGTTACACACACTCAAACTGTTACACACACACACACTGTTACACACACACTCAAACTGTTACACAAACACTGTTGCACGCACAAAAACTGTTACACACATGCAAACTGTTACACACCTGCAAACACATGCGCACACTGATACACACACATGCACACACTGTTACACACATGTGCAAACTGTTACACATGCTTGCATTGTTACACAGACGCAAACTGTTACACGCACTTGCATTGTTACACACACATGCGCACACTGTTACACACATGTCCACACACTGTTACACACATGCGCATATCCGGGTCCACTCCCACCGAGGGAAGTGAGATTGCAGCTCACACTGTTCAAAACAAGCAATACATTTATTTAATCTTTTGAAGAAAATCATGAAAATAATATGAAATTAGTTTGTGATGAATAAAATCCCCCCCCCCCCAGTCTGTAACAAAAAGCATTTTGAGGTTGTAAATGTCGTCGCTCTCACCTGAAAAGCAACTTCAAACACGTGTTTCCAGATTAGCTCTGGCTAATGATGCTAATGATGCTAATAATGCTAACAATACTAACGATGCTCTGAGCTCGTGTGTGTTTGGCCGAAGGGAAACTCTGCATCTTTCATGTCTCGACTGTTTTCACATTTACAAAAAGACAAGCCCCAGGCACCGTTCACAGGAGCAATGTTTATGTGATTAGGGCCACAAAGGTGCCAGAGCTAAACAGATGTCTCTGCTAACCTCCGTGAACAGATGTTTTCTATTCACGAAAGATTATGTCCTCAAAGGGAATTCCAAAAAACTATTTCTTGATTCTAAACATTCCTCAGTGGAAAAAAGGTTTATTCAAATAGAAGTTGTTTGTGTTGAAAGAAAACAAGAGAAATGTGTCCATTTTAAAGGAACAATATGTAAAAATGTGTCCAAAAGTGGTACTGCAGCCTCTCCCACTCTCCCCGACTCCGGTTGCCAGATATGCAGACGAATCCAGCTGGGACCATAACAGCTGAACAGACAAGAGTTTTGTCAACAACAAATCTATAACCAACACCTTTTTCACAAAGATCGAAATCCTGGTTTTATTCCTTGTTTTGTCGTTAATGATTTGAGAATCATAACGAGACCTTTTTTAGTTCTGCGCCACATGGTACTCTTCCAGTGAGATTAGCTCCACGCGGTATGTTCTGGCGCCCGGATCACAGACTTTCTGATTGGTGAAACGTGGAGGGCGGGACATCGAAACGAAAACAATAACAAGATCTAGGGGCTTGAAAAGTAATTTAGAAATTCAAATCTCTCTGAACTACTGTTATCAGTTAAAGAAGTATTGGAAAAGAGCAGTTTATTATTATGACAGATTAGGGCCCTTTAATGACGACAGATTAGGGCCCTTTAATGATGACAGATGAGGGCCCTTTAATGATGACAGAATAGGACCCTTTCATGATGACATTTTATGGCCCTTTAATGCCAGATTAGGGCCCTTTAATGATGACAGATCAGGACCCTTTAATGATGACAGATTAGGGCCCTTTAATAATGACAGATTAGGGCCCTTTAATTATGACAGATTAGGGCCCTTTAATGGTGACAGATTAGGGCCCTTTAATGACAGATTAGGGCCCTTTAATGATGACTTGACATGGAAAAAATGAGAAATTAAAATCATAGTTATTGTGTTGAAAAGTAAAGCAACTGTGAAAATCATGGAAGGTTTTTCAGAGATGAAGTGTGGCACAAACAAAGACTTTGCTCTGTTTTAAAATTAGAACAAAACCAAAAATAGAGTCTGTTAAGTCCTGATCAGAGACGGATTCATCGGTTTAGTTTCCTCCAGAACAGAAAAGAACAAATCACCTTCAAACTGACTCCATGGTTTTTGTCAATGCATTATTCCTGCTCCAGTCCATGATGAGTCCCAATCCCAGACCAGACGAGAACAGCCCAGACCAGACCAGACCAGTCCATGATGAGTCCTGTGGAGGCAGGAGTCCCAGTCCCAGCCCAGACTAGATCGGGGCAGACCGTGGTGGAGGCATGAGTCTCAGTCCCAGACCAGACCAGTCCATGATGAGTCCTGTGGAGGCAGGAGTCCCAGTCCCAGCCCAGACTAGATCGGGGCAGACCGTGGTGGAGGCATGAGTCTCAGTCCCAGACCAGACCAGTCCATGATGAGTCCTGTGGAGGCATGAGTCCCAGTCCCAGACCAGCCCAGAGCAGACTAGACTGGGGTAGACCGTGGTGGAGGCATGAGTCCCAGCCCGGGGCAGGGCAGGGAGGGTCTGGTTGGTGGAGGCATGAGTCCCAGTCTAGCACAGACCAGGATCAGGGCAGGGCTGGGGGGGGGGCGTGGGTGGTGGAGGCATGAGTCCCAGTCTAGCACAGCCCAGCCCAGACCGGGATCAGGACAGGGAGGGTCTCGGTGGTGGAGGCATGAGTCCCCTCCAGCCCAGACCAGGATCAGGGCAGGGCAGGAGGGGTCTGTGTGGTGGAGGCATGAGTCTCAGCCTAGACCAGACCGGGGTAGGACAAGGGGAGTTGTGGGTGGGGGTGGGTGGGGGTGGGTGGGGGTTGGGGGGGGTTTGGGGACCAGACAAAGAGCCCCTGTTGCCGTGTGGGATGGAGGGGTGGGTGTTTCGGGGTTACACTCAGACAGAGCGTGGGTCTGGTGGTGCTATGGTTCTCATTTGTTTCAAAACGAAGAGCAAAGGATCATGGGTAATTTCCTGGGCCGGGCGCAGAGAGAGCTCCATTCATTTTGCTCATGTTTGCGGAATGTTTTATCAGCTTTGTGCTCGGTCCTCGTCAGGGTCCTCCACAAAGACCGCTACAGATGGAAGCGGCTTTATCTCCACGGCTCAAAAACAGACTGAAACTATTTGGTTTTAGTCCGGGTTTGATAAAAAAAATAACTGCTGCAGGTTTCAGTAAATACTTTAAAATTGTGCAGTTATTATTTTAATGATGTTGTAAGTGTTTGGGACAGACTTTGCTTTCTACAGTGATGATAAATAACTGATAATAATTGATCTTATTTGAAAACGATCCATGAGTTTCAGGAAGTAACACACGCTGCTCTGTCCGTTTTGAGTTCTTTTTATAAAGTTGTCTTTTAAAAAAATATGTCTCTATTGCTCCAGAGGCAGACCATAGGCCAACACTTGAAAAAAATAAAAAATAAAATCCTGCTTAAAAGAATAAAAAAATATCTGAAAATAGAAGAAAATATGACTTGAGATTTCTGAAAATAATAAAATAAAACTAGCCCCAAACGACTTGATTCTAGTTTAAAAACAAACATTTCAAGTATTATTTTTATGATGTTTTAGTGAAATACAGCATCACAAACTTATTTTATCTAAACAAACAAAGTCTTGAAATAAGAAAAAATATTTTGGGGAAAGGTTCTCAAAAGGTTGCATGAAATGGGAGCTGAAACCCACGAATACACATAGTTTTATTTATAATTACAACAGATTTCTTAATGTCATTTGAGTTTGCATTTTCTAAAACCAGAATCTACTAAATATGAATATAAAAATAAAGATTGCACACTTACTTAGAATCTATTTATGCACAAACACAGATAAATATGCACTAATTTTAATGACATCCATGTCTTTATTGACACTAACTTTACCCCAAACCTTTTCACTTCAGGACCCACATGGAGTTAAAACACTGAAAACGCTGGTCTAATGGTCTAATACCATGTGGGTCTCTCTATGGTCCAATACCATGTGGTCTCTCTCTATGGTCCAATACCATGTGGTCTCTCTCTATGGTCCAATACCATGTGGTCTCTCTCTATGGACCAATAACTGTCTTAACTGTTGATTCTCTGATCTGTGTTGGTGATTTCAATGGTTTTGTTAAGTCTCTGAGATGATGCTGTTGTGATTTAGGGAAATACAAGTATAAGTTGTATTGTGTTGTATTGTATGAAAACTATACAGTGCACCTTTGAGTCTAGAACCTATCCCCTGATGCTTCGTTTGTGTGTTTCTTGTGTAACAGGTGATGGTTGAAGACACAGGAGAAAACATGAGAAGAAGAGGACGGGTGTGAAGAAGAAGAAGAGGGTAAGAGAGTGAGCTGCATGTGCCCAGAGTCTGTCCTGTAGCTGATGTTTGCATGTTCTCTCCATGGTTTGTTCAGTGTGTGTTTTGGCCTTTGCCTTTTGGATATCAAACCTTTTTCAATCCCACACATGGATGGATGCAGTCAATCACATGTGGCCTTAATATTAACGTTCCCTGTGTGTGTGTTGTATGTTCGAGACCCACAAAGCTAAAGCCATGACGCAAAAAACATGACACTAGCATCATGTTTAAAGATATCCAGTTGAAATATATCATAACTTTGCCTTGAATTCATTTATTTCCATGTTTAGTGAACCCTTTAGGCGCTAACGTCATTTTTGTTTTCATAAATATTACATGTTGTTTGTCCTGATAGAAAGAGTCCTAAAAGTAAAATGTTGTGAAAGAATGAAACTCTCTTTCATATTTATAGAGAACATGTAGAGAATGCACAGTATCGGTCAATGTTTGCCTCGTTAACAAATAAAAATGACATTAGCCGATGGTGGCGTTTGCGAAAAGACACCAGTAGAGGGCGACACCGGCAGAGTCTGTGCACTTTCCTCAGCAGAAGAAACAAAATGGCGGCGGTGGTTTGGAGATATTTGACAGTATCAGAAAAAAGTTTGCACGAGTTCAGTGAGATTTCAAGAGCTGCGGGAAAATCATTGAAAGAATCTGATTGGACGTTTGAAAAGAGGCGGAGACAGTTACTGCAGGAAGCTGAAGGAAAACATTAAACTGAAGTATATTAATATAAAGTATTAATAAAGTAGTAATAGTATAGTATATAAATATAAATCACAAAAAGAAAATATATCTACAAATAATGTCATAACGGGTGCATCCCTAAAAACATAAACAAACTCTACTTTATTCTAGTAAACAAAATCCATACGAATAATGAACTAGTAACTAAGTAACTAATTTATGTTTTGGGATGAGAACCGATTGGATAAGAACTGATCGGCTCAGAACCACTTGGCTCAGAACTGATTGGATAAGAACTGAATGGATGAGAACCGATTGGATGAGATCGGATTGGCTGAGAAATGATTGGCTCAGAACCGATTGGATGAGATCTGATTGGCTCAGAACTGATTGGCTCAGAACACATTGGATAAGAACCGAATACCGAATGGATAAGAACCGATTGGATAAAAACCGATTGGCTGAGAAATGATTGGCTCAGAACCGATTGGCTGAGCAACGGCCGCCCTCTCTTTTTCCCTTTCTGTCTGAAAAAATAAACCCAAAGAAGTGCCAAAGACTAAAAATACATTCATGTAAAAACCCAGAACCAAACTGTGGTCATTGATCCTATTACATACTTCACTTTTATATGGTTTGAAAGTTACGTATCTCAGCTTTAGTCACCTCCATCTTTGTCGCGCCTTTGTACCCGGAATAGTTTTCTTTGAAGCTTTGACGGGCTCCTTCTTTACAGTGCAGAAGTCGTTCCCATGTGTCCTTCAGGGCAGAGCTCAAACCAGGACTGGGACAAGAACCTCTGGATCTGTTTTTACTGTGTTTTTCTCTGATCACATCCCCCTGAGTGAGAGGAGGAAGAGGAGAAGCCCATTTCCACACAGACATGATCAAAATGGCTGCCCCTGTGGTTAAATAGTGGAGGCAATGAGAGCCAATGAGAGCCTGTTTTGGGAGTTTATGAATCGTAACATTACATGAATATAAAAGTGGGAATTCAGAATAGTAACGTAGTAAACGGAACGCCAGACGATCCATCATTTTTATCCTCACATTTTACATTTGAGCCAGCCCAGTTTGTGTGTTTTTATGGCTGTGGGATCATGGTTAGAGCTGGACAAAAAGACACACATAGTCAACATTCTTTCTGCTCTATCTCTGATTTAACATGAAAACATTGGGTGCTAATTAAATAATTATTATCAAATCAGATCAGTTCAGTTAATTACAAATACATAATAAAAGCCTGTACCATTCATTCATAATTAGTGACGTTTCCCTCTCTGTCTGTTGTTGTGTAGCCTCCCTTATGTGCTTGTGTGCCCAGTTGTGTCCCCAGTTGTGTGCCCAGTTGCGTCCCCACTAGTGTCCCCAGTTGTGTGCCCAGTTGTGTCCCCAGTAGTGTCCCCAGTAGTGTGCCCAGTGCCCAGTTGTGTCCCCAGTAGTGTGCCCAGTTGTGTCCCCAGTAGTGTCCCCAGTTGTGTGCCCAGTTGTGTCCCCAGTAGTGTGCCCAGTTGTGTCCCCAGCAGTGTCCCCAGTTGTGTCCCCAGTAGTGTCCCCAGTTGTGTGCTCGGTTGTGTCCCCAGTTGTGTGCCCCATCCTGTAGACCGTGGAGGTGTCTATAGTAAAACTGAGAGAGTTACTTGAGATTTTTGATTCGATGTGTGTCCTACAGACATTTGGTGAAACAAATTTGTCCATTTTTGTGCTGAGCTACAGCTGGTTTGTTATTTGCGCCTGTCCCAACCTTGTATAATTATATGGATATGTCTAAAACCATAACACATTTCAAACCAAATTGAAAAGCGGATTTCTAAAAGTTCCAGGGCTGTGGTTGTGGTAGTAGTTTTACAATTTTAATTAGATATTATTTCATTTTCTTACATTTTTACTTTCTAACATTTCATTGTCCATTTTGAATTTCAAGTTTTGTTAATTTATTACTAATTTTTATCTTATGGAGTCAGAGTGTTCCCTATGCTCCCACCAGAAGCATTAGCATAGGGAATGGCTGCAAACACTGTAACAAATGCAATGTCACATAATAAATTACCAAAACAATTTCATGGTCACTACTTTTGTTTTAAAAGGCAGAAAACTGGTCCGATAGCATTGAGGGTGGAAGTTACTGATTGGTAGTGTGGAGGGAACTGGGCGGTTAGAACCTTATAACATAAATACTGAATTGATACAGGGATCTATACAGTATTTCATATTTCATGTTCATAATACAATATAGTATAGTCCAGTAGCAGCAGAAACACAAGAATAAAATCTCTATATTTAGCATAATGAGAACAAAAACTCTGAATTTAGCAAAATAAAGAATCATGAAAAGTTTTGTGTATTTTAGTTTAGTAATATATATTTGTATGTTTACATCTGTAATAAATAAACAATTCTAAAAATAGCAAACTAGTGGAGGCGCCATTTTCTCTGCTCTGGTCCAAAGTAAAATGCTAAATGCTTCATTAGCATTTTTCATAAAGTTAGAATTCCTCCAGTGGATTTTCACCTGATCCACTTGGTTCAGACCATGAATCCTCTCTGCTCTGGTCTGGACCAGTGTAAAACCATGAATCCTCTCTGCTCTGGTCTGGACTTGAGTCGTTTCCATCGCATTGAAAAGTAAAGGAGTCGATTTTGCGAGGTCAAATTCAGCGATTTCACCTGGTAACTCTAATGCGCTAGTTTTATCTTATTTACCAGATAACATCCGTCCTCCTCTGACACACGAACCAGGAATCCTCGGCGTGTCACTGTCATTACTCTGGAAACACAGACAGTGAAATGACAAGCGTGACTCCCTCTGTCCACTCATATTGATCTCGGAGCAGGACTGTGGACAGGCCGCGAAATCGTACGTTTCACGCTAGCGCAAAATAACCCCCCAATGTTACGCCGTGATTTACAACCGCGGACGTGTTTGTCGCCAGGGTTAATAAATTTATAAAGAGCGGGAGATGGACAAGTGTCGAGAGTGATAAGAATACAGCGAGGGGCTTTTCGGCAAAGACGCTCTCCCAGCGCTGGGGATTAAAGATTAAAAAGAACGGTTTTTATGGAAGCCTGGGCGTCCATTTTGAATCATGTTGGAAGACGAAGCAGAGAGAGGCCACAGAGAGGCTTCATGGAAACGGTGGGAGATAAAAAGGTCTGGGATGTCTTTATAAGGTCATATAACAGCGCACTTCCTGTCCCTGGTCTAATTACTCTTGGTTTGAGTTTTCTTTTGAAACGTCCGTCAAAAGGTTACGTTTTACTTTTTTCTCTCTTGCAAATCAGGAAATTATGATGAAAGATGAAAGCTTTGTTTTGGTTTTAGAAAGGGGGAAGTGGGGATTTAAAACTCCCAGCGTTAAGGCACATAGTTAATATGAGCTAGTTTCATTTTTATATTAGATTTTTGTATTACATGGTGTTTTTGTGAGATATTTTGATTTATTATACCTAGATCAGGGTCTCTAACCTGTAGCTAGAGAGCCACCAGTAGCTCGCAGAAGGATTTACAAATGAACAAATCGAAAAGTATTATTATTTATTGTTTTAAATGCACTTTGTCACTAGTAACAAATGTGCGATGATAAATAATGACCGATATCATGCTCTTTCACACCAGTGTATCACCACAGTGTTCCCAGGGCCCTCTGTGTGAAAAAGGTTGGGGACACCTGACCTAGATCCGAAATGTGGACATGAGTTACTTACCTACCTACCTACTTACCTACTTTCCTACCTGCCTACTTAGAGATCTTCTTACCTACTTACTTATCTACCTACCAACTTACTTACTTTTTCTCATTGAGCTGTTTTTTTGCACAATGAATGGAAGGAATGGAACATGAAATACAGGAGTAAAAGTACTTTTAAATCATTTACTTTGAGAGTGATCATTATGTTTGTATGAGATCAAAGTTTTAAATCTAAAACTATAGATATTTTGGTGTTGTGCTAACAGCCATTTCTGTCATTTTCTTCATGAATTTACAGTTTGTTTTTACTGAAATGGGGAGATAGAATTCATGTCCTGTCACTTGCATAAAAGTGCTAAAAATGCTGTGTAGAAAGCACCACGGTGCCTGAGTGGTTAGCTCTCTCGCTTCTCAGCTTGAAGATCCTGGGCCTTTCTGAGTGGAGTTTGCATGTTCTCCCCATGTTTACGTAGGTTTCCTCCGGGTGCTCTGGTTTCCATTACCACTAAAAACAATCTAATGTTGGATTAGAGTTGGCATGTATACAATTCATGTTAGCATCTACACAGGTCTTATTAACTAGCATGAATACAGGTCTTA